CAAGTTGGTTGGGGAACCTCCACATATGTCCTTTCATTTCTCACCCAAATTGAATAGGCTCCTTTGGTGAGTAGGCAGAGAATTGTAGAATTTCAACTCCTAAATTGTCCTAGGTGGGTTGTTAAATGTGGCTCCCTAGTGAACCTGTCAAGTGGTTTTCCTGGAACTATGAAAATGAAACATAAAAATTTGGGGATAGGTTGTGTCTGACACTTCCACTTCTATAGAAGAAGGATTTTCCATTTTGGCATTAATGGATTCCTTCACTCCTTTTCAAACTATTTGAGAGAAATAATCCCTAGCAAGGCTGTCAGGCTGCTGGGCAAAAAAAAAAAAATTTGTGCTAGAAAAACTTCATGAATATATTTACTAAGTATCACTCACCAAGTCTTAAGAACAGACTATAATGTTAATATAAGAACATGAAGAGATAAACTGATAATAATTTTGGTTTCCTTTAGTATATTGAGTTTATTAACCTACCAAATATAAAGATTAGGTGAAATAATATCTGACTTTACATCTATGAAAAAGTGCAAAGTCAAGAACAGATAAAAATAGCAGCATAAAAATAGGAAGAGATAAACTGATAATAAATTTTATTTTCTATTAATATATTAAGTTTATTAAATTGCTGAACATAAAGGTTATATGAAATAATATCTGAATTCACATCAATGAAAATATTAAAGGGTCCTGGAAAGAACATTATAAGCTTGGATCATAGCTTGAAAAAATCAAGCGACATTCACTCTACTTGAAAGACTGTTCTCTGAAAATTGCATAAAGGCTGTCTTTTATTATCAGACAAATTTGAATCCAGTGAGGAGCAGGGAGATTCTTTTTTTACAAACTTTTGAAATTTATCTAGGCAACTTATTTTTGTTCTGGTACAGAGAATATGTTCTCCATATCAATCCTTTGATAGTACAGAATGAAGTATTCATATTACATCTACATCTGTAGCTATATAACCTATAACATTTATATTATCTATATCTATGTATAGTTTCATCTGTATCATTCTATAAAGTCTATACTGTATTTTTCTATATTTATATATATTTGGGGAGGGGAATTTTTCCAAAATTCTTCAATTTCTGCTGTCATATGAAACAGGAGGATTTTTTTTCAATTATCTGAACTTGGGAAAAAATGTTCCATTGGTAAGAATGTCATTTAGAAATGTACATGAATACGGAAACAAACTGTTTCAAAACTATTAAATATACAAGTAACATCTTATGCAGATACTAATTATCAACACTCTGATGGGAAAGGAGATGGGGACATATTTGATTTTTATTTGCAAGCAAATGCTTCTCCTCTTTCCCCACATCATCCCACACATATTTACTTCTTGGGAGTTGAGGCCTTTATATGTAATCTCCCTTTTACTTTTACCCATATTAGTGGTGTGTGTGTGTGTGTGTGTGAGAGAGAGAGAGAGAGAGAGGGGGGGGGGAATCAAAATCTACCTTTAATTCACCCTGAAGAACATAGCAGGGAAGTACTAATTGTATAAGATAAAAGATAACTGAAAATGCATTTACTTTTTGTAATTCACTCAAGGGATTAGTCTTCTATCAGAAAACTAAAAAGATAACACATTGTTCTGTACATAATACATTCCTGTATGCTTAATGGTTTGACAATAATGATTGTGTTTTAGCTTACCATATATTATTTGTAAAGATTTTTTTTTTGAGATGACAAAAATGTCACTTTCCTGTATCATCAGCTCATATTTTTAAGAGTACCTTACTAAAATAATTTAAATAATAATAATTTTAAATATCTAAATATCTGTGTTTTATATACTGATTATATTTGAAGCTGAATCCAGATCCATTGGATGTGTTCTCAGACTGAAGAATGAGAGGGATGATTGTGTTGTATTTCTCTCAAAAGAAGATTTGTATAACTTTGGGGTTCCCTTTGATTCTTCATAGGCAATTTTTCTTCTCAAGGTGGACCAATGCCAGTTTTCACTTGAGGATTAGCTGTAACCATACTTGCCCAGGAATGTATAGCTTCAGGGCCCCAAATATTAATAATTTAAAATTTTGATTGCTGCAATTTATTCCATGGACGATCCTTAAAGATAGCACAGAAGTCAAAGCTGGTATAGTGTGTGTGTGTGTGTGTGTGTGTGCGTGCGTGTGTGTGTGTGTGTGTGTGTGTGTAAGCCTTCGGGTAAATTGGATGATTTAGTACCTATTTTCAAAATACATCTCTAGCCTTTTCCGAAGTACTAATTAGAGTCTGTAAAATCTCAGACAGCTTCCATTCTAAGTATTAGAAAAGATGCTTTTTCCGATACCATCCAACCCTGTTTTAATATGGGGATGCTCTGAATCTGGTTCCACTTATCTGGCTTGCAGTATATTGATTAGGAATAATCAGTATTAGTGTAGTGTCCAATTTTCAGAGCTGTCCCAGAATAAATACAGTTGTGCGCCATGTTTTCTTATTTTAAACAGCTACTTAAAACATGATTGTTTATCCAGCCATTTGTGGGATAGCATCTGTGGCAGTATCAGACTGTTTTTGAAGAGAATTTTTACCATGTATTTAAACATATCCTATTAGTACACATATTTAATAGACATTTTACATGTCTTTTAATTGCCTTTGAGCAGACAGATTACATTATTATCTTTTGTTTTTTCAGATTATTTTTTTGTTCCTTTTCTGTGTTCCATTGTAGAATCCATCATGAGGAGGACATATATAATATTGATAATAATGACGACAACAACAACTAGAACAATAAAAATAATTATATCAGCTGAATTACTGGGGCATCTTAGACACATTGATTATTTTGTAATATGATCAAGAACCAAACATGTTGCATTAGTGAATGACTTTCTTGTGAAGCAAGAGTAGAGGAGGTATTATTGAAATTTCAGTTCTGGAACACAAGTCCTAGAGCTTGGAACCAGGCAGCTTTTATTCACAGGAATTTGTGTCTTGTCTTCTTGGCTCTCCCTCCTCACAGTTGGCCTTACTGTTCTGTGTTGCCATAGCATTCTTTGATCTGTGAGAAGAAGCAGCAAAAACAAATGATAAAACAAAGGAGATCATTTCAGAAAGACCCGGTATAGTCATATTCCACTCAGTATCAAGGATGCAGCTGTAGAGATGGCCAACAGTATTAAGTATCTAGGGGTGCAGATAACTAACAATCTGAACTGGTCTCTCCTCACGTCTGCATTCCCTGTGTTGGATGAGGAGAGCACATCTTTCTCCTTCTGTCCTGGCCACTTTTTACAGAGGCATGATTGAAAGCATTTTAACAAACTGCATCACTGTCTGGTTTCGTGGGAGCAGTGTCTCAGATAGAAAGTCCATACAGAGAATGGTAAGGAGAGCCGAGAAGATTATAAGAAGCTTGCTTCCTAGTATTCAGGATGCTGCTTATACGTGCTATGTGCTTAATGCTCAAAACATTGTTAGAGACCCCACACATCCACTTTACGGTCTGTTTCTGTTGCTCCCCTCTGGAGAAGGTTTCAAAGTATTTCTCACAGGACTACTCGATTCTGTAATAGCTTTGTTCCCTATGCCATCCATCTGGTAAACTCGCAAGATTTGTTATGTACATGTATACATAACCCAAACTAGACTGTTGTTTCTCTGTGTCATATAATATATGTGGGTATATGCATAATTCTGTATTTATTTATTTGTTTATTATTGTCACATTTATGTAGTGTACGTGGAGGTGTGACCCTTTGAGAACTGAATGCAATGAAATTTCATTTTAATGTATGGCTATTAGTGTACATTCAAAGTGACAATAAAGTTATTAGTTATTATTCTATTCAAGGAACAGGAAATAAGATATGGGGCTATAAGAAAGATGAAACTAACATGTATTTCACATTGGTTGATAGGAACAGTCAACACCTTAGTCCATGTGCAGGAATTAAGGATTACTCTTAAAGAGAATCTTTGTTACATATACATAGCAATTTTCAAAATAATTGCTAAAATTAATTCTATGCATGTAAACTATTAGCATGATGTCAGTATATGTTAACAATATCATTATAGAGTTGAAATTTTGTTAAGTACAAACAAATACATTTTAACATTACATGAACTGCTTCTTTCACTTCAATATTCATAGCTATTGTCCATCATGGCATTCTCCTGGATGGGAATTCTGGCACAGGAGATCCAACATATCTAAGAAATGCCAAGTGGAGAAAGCTATATTTAAGGCTAATAGACAAAATACTAGTTTTGGTACTTGAGAACAAGATTTTCAAAAACAAATGGACAATATGGCAAGATTTTCAGTGTAAAATATCTGATGGATTATTAACAGCTATTTGAATTTGTTCCAGCATAAATCAGAAGGCTGCTTTAAATTCAGAAGTTGAAAATGAACCGTATTCTTTAGGGCTGCATTTATATTTATCTGGTTCAATTCATGCAGATTCAGTCAACTTTGGGACTTGCTAAGCTATACCTTTTCTCTCCTCTTTTTTTTTTATTTCTAGAGAAAGAGGATGGAAATGACAAAAGGAATATATAAAGAATTCCCACTGAGATTCATTCCTATAAATTATGTATTATGTAGAGTCTATTCTACTGATTCTATCTGATCCTCAATTCTCAACTTCTTATTTTTGCTTCTATAAATAACCATGGATAGATATTCAGTTACAGAGCAGTGAAGACAGGACTAGAAACCTTTCCCATTTACTAACTTCTGATAGAGATTTTTCTTCTTTTTCTTTTTGTCCTACTTTTGTGTTGTGATGTCCAGAGGGCTTTATCAGTCTGGGACTACAAGTATTGCTATATTGGTGATAAGAAAAGAATAGGGAAATAACTCCTCTGTGTATTCTTAAAATGCCATATTCCTCCTGTTCACATACACACACAGAAAATCCCTCATATTATTTTAAATTTCAGTGTCGATACTTGGGTCATTTCATACCATCCTAAATAATCTACCTTTTTGTTACTTTTTTCTCTACTAGATCCCAATACTTTGGCTGGAAGAAATGTACCAGATCATGCTGTTATAGGAGGGATAGTAGCTGTTGTTGTCTTTGTCACACTATGCTCTATAATTCTTCTTGGTCGATATCTGGCAAGACATAAAGGTAAGATGGATTTAATCAAACTGAAGTTAACTTTTATTTTATTTTCTTGGTCCCATGAAAACTCAGCTCTGATAAGGAAGCATCAGAATTTGTTTGTTTTTTAAGGTCTTCGTTTTTATCCTTGTGTCTGTAAAACCCATTAATTTTACAGATGGATTATCTGTGGCAAAATAATATCTATTAATTTGTCCAAGGTCATGCTGGAAGTCAGTGACTCAGAGGATCTGACAAGTGAAATGGCAGTAGAGACATTGGTTTGTGCAATGCTACGGACTTTTATTTGTATATTTACTTGTTTTCTTTAATTTATTATATCATTCTTCTGTATAAAGTATATGAACACCCAAACACCCACTAGCAATAATAAATTATTGGCCTCAAATATGTATTGAAAAACTCATAATGAGAAAAATACTGATTATTAAATTCCAAAGTCATTATATTTTTTAATCTTTCCAGGAAAAATATACTATTATTCAGAGATATGTAAAAATGAATGAGTGAACTTAATCAGTTCAGTTGATGGCTGGTTTTGCTGATTATGACTATCAAGACAGTTCATTTAACTTTTATTTAGGTTGATTAAAAGATGCAATTTTTTAGTTTTACCTAAAAGTTATTTTACAACTTTTGAATTTTTTTTTCTCTTTTAGATATTTAGCTTTTGCTTTTTATAACCATGGACATAATGTTTCGTACAAAATCCAGTTAAACAGCTTTCTATTGCTCTTTTTTGTATGATTATATAATATCTCAATCTAGATATTTATATTTAAAATATGGTTTGGGGCAATTAATATTGTATCCCATTAACAGCTACTTAAGAGTAAATTCATTTAAATGCTGGATAATTTCTTCTGGTATAGAATTGTATTAGGGATTGCTAGTGCATTTTATCTAACATTTTTAAAAGAAGAATGTAACAAAGGCAACATAGCTTTTGTGTCATGATAGTAATCTATTTAAATCAGTGAGACTTCTTTATAAGGGCATACATTCAGTCAGAAAACTTAAATGTAGCTTTTAATTCTTAATAAGCAAATCAGACAAGTTTATAAATAACTTTTCATCTTTAAACAGCTAGCCTGAAATAAGAATCTCTTCCTTTTCATGGGTGGGAGGATGTCGATTCTCTTAATTGCTGCAATAGTTCAAGAACAAAATGTTATTATTATTTTTAGTTTGCTTCTCTGCTTGTTGAGATTGATTATCATAAGAAGCATCTTTATCTTGGAAAAACTAATTCAATTTAATCTAGCTATACGAGCTTTCTTTGAGATGGTGCCATATAGATGTTTTTGAAATTACAATTTCTATCATCCACAAATGTTTGCTGCAGGATGGTAGAAATTTATTTACATATTTGTATAACAGCAAGAGAAAGCTATTAAAGAAAATAATAAACCTATTTTTTTCAAAGTTACTATTACTATTTTATCTCCTGTAAGCCGCCCTGAGTCGCCATGAGTGAATAGGCAGCAATATATTTTTTTAAAAAATAAAATAAAATAAATATTAAAGCACTATTAGCACTTTATTCCCTTCTTAGCGGTGATTCAATACCATAATAAATGTAAAAGTAGCTATGACAAAGGCTGGTAAATAGGCATACAGATTTGTGAGTATTGTTTAAAGAGATATAAACTGTCTAGTCCTCATTCAGGTTCATAGATCTTACTAAATCATAGTGTGATTTTTTTTTACCATACTGTATCTAGTGTAATCAGTCAGTCTCATCCAAAAGCTGTTGTACATGTTCTCAAAGACACTAATTACAGTAAGATACACAGGGAATAAGTGATTGTGATTACAACTTCTCTCTTCATTATTTAAATAATGGTATATGCTTGCTACTTTATACGTGAATGCATTTGCTATGTGTATATACCGATTTCCTGTAATGTCTAATTTCATCCCATATTAACAGTTTGCAAAACAGAAATATATTTAGCTTAGTTTCGAGTCTTTTTTTCAAGAACATTCCAGTGCCTGTTAAATGTTATCAAATAGATATTACTTTTCATCAGCAGTGTAAGGAGAAATATCCATGTTCTTTAGAATAAGCATCTATTAAAAATATTCCTGATTTATTGGAAGTTTAGAATATTACTGAAGATTAACAAAACCCTTGGGCTAGGGTTTGTCCATATAACTTACATAAGCTTCCAGATAATAGTTTAATTAACTAGCTTTTATAGTAAAAGTATGAGCTGTATGAGTAGTCCAGTGGACACTCTAAGTGTCATTTTTAGGAGGACAAACACATGTTCCAATTTCCAGACCACGCTGACTTTCCCATTAATTGAAAGTGACTTGTTTTAAACATCAATAAAAACAAATATGTTACTGTTGTAGATTCAAGATATGATAAACTGGCAAATAAATCCACATAATAGAGATAGTTCTGCAATGCAGAACAAAATTGAAGGTTACAGCAAGAATGCAGGCAAATATATCAATAAACATATTTATCTAAAATATTTCCAATGAAATTGGAACTAAAAGTATTGCTAAAGTATAGCTGCTTTTAAACAACGTATTAATTATTATGTGCAATTAACATTTTTGTTGAAGGAATAGAACTGTAAAAGTGCCAATTTTGAAACTTGAGATCATGCTGCTTGATTGATTTAAGAAGATGAAGAAATGTTCTGTGTTTTATATTACAATGCATCCAAAACTAATTAAGGCCTTTCTCCAAAGCTTCTTATTAATGAATTTTTGGCAGTTTATAGTACAACAGACCATTTCTGTGCAATTGATAGGTAGTTATGATAGCAGAATTATACAATTACTACTACTTTAACAAATACAAAAATCATTCAGATTCATGATAGATTCATTGCTAATCTGAGAAACATTCATGTAGAATGCTATGTGGTCATTAACCTGGTCCACACCCAGACCAATTATTTTTGTGTTAAAAAATCCCATCTCTAAAGCAATATCAAAACTGCCTATATCTCTAACATTTGTCTTTTAATCGCACTGTTTCCTACAGGAACATATTTAACAAATGAAGCTAAGGGAGCTGAAGATGCACCTGATGCGGACACAGCCATTATCAATGCAGAAGGCAGCCAAGTTAATGCAGAAGAGAAGAAAGAATATTTCATATAGATGCAGACTTAGATTCTTTGAACACCACTATCCACAAGGCTGACTCTTGGAGAAAACTGGCTCTCATCTTTCTGAATTAATTTATCATGTCTCCTTTCTATCCTTGTTAAAGTGCATAATTGCTCTCAGTTGCCAGTTTGTACCAACAATCAGCCATGAACATATTTTTTTCTTTAATTATGATACCATTCATAATGCAGGACATTTCTTATTGCCTAATCATCATATACATTGCTCTTTTAACATACAGTGCTTGAATATACAGCCTTAACAAATTTAATCGTCATCTCTTCACATTTGGTTCTTCTACATTTTAAAGAAAGTGTTCTTTTTCTTTTCTTTTAATATGGTCCTTACCTATATTGCATCAGACCATTTTCATAGCAAATGTTCTTAGGTGAGGACCTAAATGTAATTACATAAACCATTACAAGTAAAATTAGAGGTTTACAAAGAATGTTTTATATATCGTCTGTAATTCAAAATCAGCCGAGCATTGAAACATTATGCCCTAAGAAACACTAATGAAATCATTCTACTGTAATTTCTTGTGTGTTTGCAAATGGCAGCAAAGGAGTATGAACAGAACTTTTATTTAATGAAATACTGGTATTAAAAGCAACTTCTGTGTGGTAATCAACACCATACACTCCTGTCTACACAGAATCCAAGGTGATGGATTATGTAGCTCCATTTTGAAAATGGTTGTCCAACTCTTTTACTGCTCCTAGAATCGTAAAGACTTCCATATATATTTCTATAATTTGTATTCCTTTTAATTTATTTGCTTCATGTGGGTCTATCTGCCTACTCAAATTGAACGTGTTCATGGGGCAAAATTGCAAGGCATTTTAATATCTGTATATAGTGCATATAATAAATCCAATTAAACATTATTTGATACATATTTAACTTTTGGGGCTGTAGGTAAGTCAGTCACAAGTAAGCATTTTCTAATGTCCATTATATCCCTTTAGATATAACTTAAATTAATATTCTGAGTAGATAACATGTATTAGTATTTTTTGTCTGTATGTCCTAGCACTGTTCAGCAACAAATTTTTCTAGTTCCAGTTAATTTCTCTTTGTTATACAATGGAAGCACAATGTTATATGGAAAGGTAGTTTTAAGCTAACAACCAGTGCACAGCCTCAGGTTTTGTCTTACAACCACATTAATGATTAAATGCTAAGTTACTAAAAAAAATCAATACATAATTTGGCAGTTCCAGAGCTGCTTATCAATGTTGGATTTGCCAAACCCCAAACAGAAAATGTTACAACAACAACAACTCTCTATGTTTTGTGTATATGGTAAATGACTAATCCTTTATATTAAATTTCTGTCTATGCATTTTGTGAGGTACAAACTTATGTCACTGCCATGCTTTTAGCTCCACAGTAAAGACCTCTCTGATATTATGTTAAGTGTGGGCCAAAGGACATCTTAGAACAATAATAATTTTTAAAAAGTCTAATCCAACATAAAATGTTCTTCTTCCAGACCAAAAAAGGCAACCACAAACAAAAATAAAAATAAATGAAATAACCAGATAAGCTCTTACTTTCTGGTTCCATGTAAACATAATTGACTAAAATAGTAGAAATTTTTGTTTATCTCCAAAGCACTGCACACTTTAAAAATAAGACAAAGAGGAATACATTTCTATATAGAAACTATTACTCGTGAAGTCTAAAAGCATAATGGCCTATTGTAAAGAATTAATTCCTGGGTTTATTTTTTGTGTGGGGAATGGAAGGAGGGTGGGTAACATTTGAATATGGAATCATGTGTCACAGTCAATTGAAATCAAAGGTATTGTGTCAGATTATTTATCCGAAGGCTATACACCTTTTAAGGACAATAGTAGTTTTTAAATTGTTTTTGTTAGAAGAAAAAAATTACTTTGTTAATTTCAATGAGAAAAAAAAGAGCGAGCGAGAGAGAGAGAGACCATCAATCAAGCAGCACTTTTTCAAAGTATACAGAACATAAATAATATGATGTGGTTGAGTGTTAACATAATAAATCATATACAGTATGATATTTTAAAGAAATACGTCTGCATTGATGTGACTGCATGCTTGTTTTTTACAGTTCATTCAAAAATCTGTGGAAAAAATGCAATAATATGATAATCTAGTATGGTAATTTGAAAGAATCAGGTAGAAGTACTAGACACATTGAAACTAGTATAGGTTTATAACATAGTCATGTTTTCAAAAACTGATTTGTAGAACTAAGTTAAAGGCCAGCAATGCACTTAAACGTGTTGAGGTGCCTTGCTGCATTAGGATTATGTTTACTAAAATTATATGCCTACTGGTGTTATATTTACACATTCATACATTTTTATCAATTCTATTATGTTTAAATTATATAGAAATACTTTATCTACTTATTCATCCCTATGAAGTGAGATTTCCAGATATCTTTAGGCATCTTTCAATGTAAGCATTTCAAAATGTTTAGTCACTGTAGGATACAGAAAACAATGGAATTCTGCAACAGAGATAGGGATTAGACTGTTACGTTTTGCTTGTAGTAGACTAAAAAAAAATCTTTCCTTGCACATTGAGATGTACAGCAGGCTAAAAGGCAATGAGAAAGTCCATCAGAATGAAAAATCACTGTCTATCATCACTTTCTAGCACTCAGTTAAATCAGATACTCTCAATCTTTTAATTGAGAGCAAAGGAAGCTTTTGAAACAGAATAAAAATATACTTTATTTAGAATGATACATTCCATAAATGAGCAAACTTTAATATAATGATTTTGGCCCTTAATCTTTCTCCACTTTTCTCTGTTTTGATGTATTCAGTCCTGTTTAGATAAAATAGCAATATTATATCAGATTATTTTAAAAAACAATGCTGACACTTTTTCATACCTTTGTTTGATTTTACAGCATGAAACCCAACTGAGTTTACTTATCCCATGTAAAAGCTCTTATATTTGGAGCTATAATTCTAGCAATGCTGCCTGATTTTTATCAATGTCCTTCAATTGTGTTGATTTTGCACTAGCACTTGAGCAGATCCCAAATAATTCTGCTTCCTATTTCAGTGCCTTTTCAACCAGTACAGATCAGAAAAACATGGGAAAAGCCAGATAGCGAAAGGAGGTGGCCAAGATATTTTCTCTTAGGTTTGCTCTTAGGTACTTAAGGTACTAAAGCTTCAATATAAAGCTTTGTTTCCTGAACCAATTCCCTGATTGCTGCATAGCAGAGCCATGTTGTCAGGATGATGGAAGCTGTAGGCCAATGTATCTGGAAAACTCTACCTGGATAAGGCTCACATAAGCTGTCAGGACATGGAAGATGACCCATTCCAAACTGAATGTTCAGTATAATAGGATGAATAAGAGGGCCATATATATTTACAAGCTTTACCCATCCAGGGAAAATACATGTATTCAACATCTTGTATAATTTATAGGAATAATAACAAAACGTGATTATACCAATCTAGATCCACTTTGGGAACTCCAAGTTTAGATTAATATATTAGAATAAAATGCCAAAATTTTATGACAATTTAATTGCCTGCTTTATCACAGAAGGCAGGTATAAATAATCATGATTTGAAGACAGCAACTAATAAAATTTGAACCAAGACAGTTGTCACTGAGAATATATTTTTGTCATCAATCCAGCACATCAAGTTGCTACTGATTACTATTGTTCCCTTCTGCAATCATTATAATTCTTTATTTTTTTAATAAAAGGAGAAGATGGCATCTCAGAATATATGGGTCCGTTATCTTTCATTCTGGAATGCCATTTGCAAATCTAATTGCTGCTAGAGCCATCCCTAACCCTAAACATTTACCTGTTTTTCACAGGTATGGAAGGCAAACCATCTTACACTGGAATTTCCTGCTATTAAAATCAAATGCAGAAAAATCATATTTCCAATTATTCCAGTGAATTGGACATCTTGAGTTAATTATTTCCAATGTAGGCTACCTATTTATGATAAATCTCTCAATGAAAAGAAACAATATGTTTTATTGTAAAAGCATTGCTTACTGTGTATTCATACATACATTAAGCATTTTGATCATCACATATGTTACATGTGCTTCCATGTAACAGTGCAGTTACTGTGTAATTTAGTGCCACTTATTATAAAGTGTTACCGAGAGGAATATAAAACTCTTATATTTATTACTCCATTGAATAGTGACAAGTCTAATCAATTGAAAACAAAACATGCAATTACAAAGAATTGTCATGGTCATACTAGTTTTCTTAAATTCTTAAATCTTATCTTCTTAATCATTAGAGATAATGATTTACAATAAATGTGAACACTTATATAATAAATTAGCTACTAAGAAATTATGTCACTAAACGGGAAATAGAAATTATCCAAATAATGCTTTGAGTTAAGTGGCACAAAGTACATATTAAAAACTATGCAAAAATATAGGCAACTACAGTGTACTTACATGTAAGTATCTTTTGCTTTCTCTGTATGGATATTGGAAACCCATGTACTTATAATATGAATTTTGATTATTTTATAAGGTAGGAGATAAAAACTTGCAGTTACAATCATGAATTATTACCATACATGAAAAACTGTCATCTTTAAATATGTATATTTTCCCAAATCTTTAATTTACTGTGAGTTATTTTTAAAAACTAACCATTAATCCATTTGGTCTATTTTCTTATTTGGGTGTCATTGGGTTCCTTTCAAATACCTTTTGAGCAAAGACCTCTATCTGCTAATACTTTTGCTGCCAGAAAGGTCTCAGAACTGCGTAGAAATCTATATCTAACCCAACCTTGGCAGTTTGTTCTTTTTGTCTTCCTTGAGGGAACCTTGCATGCCAAGATGCTGAAAAGTTGCCATTTGCTCTAGTATTTTTAGTGTGAGCAGTGGAAAGACAGCCAAAGAAATAAGTTCCTTATCCTGACCCTTATTTCATCGAAGTATCTCATCTGGAATTTCTGCTGTTTATTTTCCAATACCCAATTGATGATTTTACACAGTGAATACAAAATGCTTCCATCAAACAGCAGAAAATGCCTTTTCCCATAAAGTTATTGTTTTTCCCCCAAAATGTAAATTTATTTAATATTTATCCTTTTAATTTCATCACTTTCCCCTAACATGAGCTTCCAAAAGCATTGAAAGTAGTGAAATAACAAAAAACAATCATAGAGATAAATATTGTTAAATTGAACTTCGCAAAGCTTCCAAAGTTTGGCCATAGCTGTCCTTCTCTGAAGCACTATCATTACTCCCAAAGCTCTGAATCACTTAATCTACTTTCAGTTGGTCAGTTTTAAAATAATAATGATGATGATGTTTTTAATTTGTTTCTTAACTTCTATTGGCATCTTGAGATTCTTTAATCATCTGGAGATTTTGATTTTGTAGACATCAGGCTGCAGTAAGTGTGTATGTATCTGCTATGCTTCTACTACATAATGACTATGATTGGGCTATAGTTTGTATAATGGAGATTTCTGACTGACATGCAAAGGATCCCATATTGGGTTATACAGGTATTATAATCTTGGCATGACTCATTTGATGGCACTGATGAACTTTGGGTCTCCAGCTTGCTCAAGAGGATTGCATTGAATCTCCTCACTTTTCACAATTGACACAACTGAGATAATGCATTGTGCCATTGTTTTAAACAAAATATTAATGTTATATTTATTAAAATAACCTTTATACATATATTTCATTATATAATTTATTTGATTGCAATTATTTTACTTTCATATAAGAGCTGCTCAGATAACAGCATTATGAAGCATCCCAAATTATGAATAAGCTGCTTTAAGGGTCAACACCGAAAGCTTAGGCTGCTAGCTGTTAGTTTCTTCATTCTGATAATTACCTAATAATGGTAATGGAAGATATTTCCAACAAAGATTATTCTAAATAAAGAGCATTTTTATTTTATTTTCAGGTTAATGGGATATTTTCTGCTCTAAGGAATTCTAGATGGACAAGCAATTGCCACACTGCCTTGCAGCTGTCTGAAAAATTAGGAAAAAATAAAAAATAATCTCATCTAGCAAATCACCATCTTTTGGTCAATTCTAAAGCAGATACCACAAGCTGCCATTCCCTAAATATGACTACACCTTTGTAAAAATTAAATGCTAAAACTGAATGGTTTCAAATATCTCAAGTACCATTAAAGTACAATTGCCTTTACAATAAATTTCACTTAAGGAACCAGTTAAGCAAAATGTATAGCTTTTCTGTCCCTTAGAATGTTTACAACCCATCTCCATGTATGCAAACTACAGTCTTCTATAGTTACATACACTCAATTCATTGCTAAGTCAGACTAAGCCTTGTTTGACTGTCTTCATTATACATGTACCAAGTATTGCATGAAAGTAGATAGTATAGATATATCCCAGACTAAGAATACATTATTAAAGCCACAGGTTCAGTTTCTGCTGCAGATATCATGTAAATCTTCCTAATGGCCAATTTTATCTTATTTATTATCCTATAGGAAAGAGGTAATTAGCAGCTGGATGCACAAATGCTTGGGCAAGCTAAGTGGAAAAGAGAAAGCTGAAAGGACATCAAAATGTTAAGTATGCTCAGTATGAAGTACATATCAATTATTCTCAAGAAATTTGCAGTCCAATCTGCATTTGAACATGCAAACCCATTTACAAGTAATCAATTTTTGTGCACCAATTCATTGCTACAGTGTGCTTCATTTTGTACAGCATTTTCAGGAGTCTGAAATGCATAGAAATATTTTAGAATAGGTAGGAATGATAATTCATAGTCATCTGGAATAAAAACAGGGTAGCAAAGAAACTCCAGAGAAATAAAGTAGTTTTCCATACCTTAGAATAGATAAAATCTGTAGTTATAATTATTCAGTTGTTTACTTTAAAAGTATCCCATAATTATTGGTACCGATGCTACAATAGTCACTTGTCAAAACTATTTCTGTCTCAAAGCTCTGATAGGTAACAAATTGTTACATATGCATTTTGAGCATTATTCCAGTTTTGTAAAATGATATGTGAAAATACACAGAACACAGCAAGAAAGACAGATTTTCTAATCCAATGTGCAGTGATTTATACAATAAACATATCTCCATGTAATTTTCCCGCAAAGTATGCTCAAGAACCTGCACAAAAGAAGAGACATTCCTTATTGATATCACTGGTAGTTCTGGCCCCAATCCTTTAAGTTAGCTGTAGCCAACCTGACAACTTCCAGTTGAATTTATAATAACACAGCTACAGAAACTTTTCAGATAAATTTTATTTTTACCTTTCTTTTTTAAAAAAGAAATGTAGACAAACTGCATTTTCATATGGATCCAGAAATATTTTTTTTCCCCAAAAGATTTTATTTTAGCACAAGGTTCACAATCACTGTACTAATCACAAATGCACTATACATTAATATTTCTTTATAGTTTTTCAAATTGAAAAGATTTAATTAAAAATATTTATAAAAGAATGATTCAGTGATAAGTGACAGATGTTATTTTTATTCTAGAAACAGATAATCAAATTATACACTTTCTGTAGGCATCTAATTAATTTAGCAATAATATGTATATAGTTTAATTATATTTTATATATTTTCTGCATTTCCATTCTATAAAGTGCATGCATACATATGCGGACATGCCAAAGGACTGCTTTCTTTTGAAACAATTTGTACAAATTCAGCAGATCCTCATTTTCTATAACCAGCCTTACAATTTTATAGGTGAGAAAAAGAAAGCAGCACTATTTTAAAAAAAAAAACTATATATGCATATATAGTTTCCCAGCATTTTAATTCAAAATGCACTTTATAGTTTCACCAAAAATTGGGATGTTCAAAGTCTTTTACAATTGTCTCTTCCTTCTTTCAATATCTCCTTCTTTAAAAAAAAAAAAACAAATCTGGAAAAAGTAAATTGGGTGATGTTCATGAAAAAATTACCAATTTCCAACTCTCCCACTAAAGTAGGTCCACAAAGGCCAAGTTATAAAGTATTCCCCATTTCATTTTAGGCTTGCAACTTTGGGGAATCCACTTATAAGTTTCAATTGTTATAACACATAAAATATTTTCTATCCTATCTGATCCTAGACCAATGGGACTGGTAAACTCTTTACCCAGGTTGGTAGCTAACTGAAAAGTGACTATAGTGGCCTAAGAACTACAGTGTAACTGACATGCAATTTCAGCTATGTTTTGGACACTATATCACTTAATTCCACAAAGAGGAATTAAGAATGCAGCACTGACAATGGAAGCACAGTTTCTCATTATTTCATAATTTTTACTGAACAAAATGCATATTGTAATGTTAGGTACATGACACTTGCATGTTGCTATGCCTATATACTTTCAGAGTGTTCAGTGTGTACTTTGTGGCGCTTAAAATGTCATGTACAATTTTTATCAACATTATACAGGGTTCCCATTTGCACTTCATCTTTCAGTAAAGTCTTGTCAGAGAAATGTCTGAATATTATTAAAATGAATAAAATTTCAATTTTAGTTATCTGTTGGACATTAACAAAGTGTCTATTCATTTCATACATTTTGGAATTCTTGAATTTAAGATGGAATATTATCAGGGGTATATTGGCAAATGTGAGGAACATAAAATGTCTTGAATAAATATTAGCAAATACTAGAATGATTGAATGTTTCCCAATAAAAATGTTTCAGGCATATCCCATAATGAAGTACTATAAAATGGCTTGTCTAACTTCTAACTAAGAGCCTAATTGCATGTATTGAAATATCAACTGGATAATAGAGCAAGAGGTGCAAGGTTGCCAAAATGGGGACTGAAAACAAAGATGATCCACTCATCCCCTTATCCATCTATCAGAAAGGAGACCAGGCCACAAAAAGAGTCTCATCTCAGAGTTGCCTATGTAACTTCAGGTTTATATAGGTAACTCAGTTTTAACACAGAATATTTTGTAGCTGTGTCAGCTCGACCAAGAGCAGGTGAAACATCACAGTTCTGGCCAGGAAAATATCTTCATTATATTAGTATATAGGGGTTTAAATTGTAAATATGAAGCATACAATAATTATAGCTTAACATCAGAAGTGGAATATCCCAAGAATACTGCACACAGAATTGGATAAATTTGATAGGACGCCAGATTTTTTTTTAAAAGTGGATCGCTAAACAAGAGAAATTCAAATCTAATCAGGCCAAATACCAGTTATTGCATTCCAGCAGAAAGTAAAGAGGGATGTTGAGAGAATGGATGGGTACATGCACAATTGAACCAGGCAAACTTTGGCAACTTCAATTGCCTTCTAACATATTGAGACAAAAATCTGGGGAAGGGGGGCAAATAAAAGCTACCTCTATAGCTTTTGATCCTAAATTTAACCAGCACTAGAACTCTGAAACTAGCAATTATAGTATTTGATCAATATGTTGTATTAGAATACCAATCAGCTTGTTAAAATAATATCAAGAAAAACAAAATATGTGTAAAAGCCCATTGGGATTTAAATATGTACCCCATACAACATTGGGTCCCCAACCCTGGTCCATGGACCAGCACCGGTCCACGGCAACCAGGCCACACAAACAACCAAAGCCCCATCCATAGGATGCAGATAGCATGTAAAACCATGCCCCTCTAGTACGTGGAAAAAATTCTCTCCACAGAACTGGTCACTGGTGCCCAAAATGTTGGAGGCCGCTGCCATACAATATATATATTATATATTTTAAATAATATTCTAACTATATTATATCAAATATGTATTATCAGATCTACATTTTGGTTTGGTGAAAAAGAAAAAAAAAGTGTGAAAATGAGCAGTAGGAATAAGAGTTGTATGCATTTTTTTGGTATCCCTGAGAACTTATTATGCTATAACTGCCATAATTACTTCAAACAGTAATCATGGCAGCAAATAATATGAAGCCACATGATATATACATTATTTGACTGCAGATCTAAGGTTTTTAAACTAGCTAGCTTGCTATTTGGTGTTAATTTGGTCTAATTTAAACTGTTAAGAAATATTTCTGGTGTGATCACTGATTCCCTTAAAAGGTAGATAAATATCTTGGGAATACAATTTATGACAATTTTTCAGTCATTTCCTAAATACCAGTTAGGTTGAGTGATTGATTTTCCTGGATAGAAATGTGATGGACACTGTCTTAGACACAAGACTAATAGCAACAATATTTAGATAACAACTCAGGCGGTAGTCAATGGGGTTCGTGGACTTTCTTGGGAAGCCTCACCAGGAGTTCAGATGGTCTCTTCCAGGGAAACAGTTTGAAGTTGCCTCTCCTAGTTATCTCTGCTTATAGTTCTTGTTGAGATAGCAGACATTCCTTTTGAACCACAAAGAGCAAAAAAAGGCTCATAAGAGAAGGCAGCACTTCTCCTCCTACCCAATGTGGGTAAGATCACAGAATCATACAGCTAGAAGAGACCTTGGGTGGTCTTCTGGTCATTATTCTTTTATTGGTGTGCCATTAACTTAGTATTTAAAATTTCAAACCAATTACTTGCTATGTAGTATCAAAACGTGCTACTAATTACATTAGGAATCATACTGATTTTGATTCTTATTATCAAGCTTCAATTTAATGAGGACTTAAAACTACTTCTGTTCTCTCCTGAATTTAATCTCATGAGTTTTCTTATATGAGTTATAGCTACCTCATCTACCTAAGAAATAAATATAACCAAAAGTGAATCTCACATAAAACCGTTTGTACTTGAAGCCATAGGCAGCTGTTTGGCTTCCCTACATGATACCCTATTCCTTAATAAATATCACAGGAAGGTAAAGTTTAGGAAGACGAGTATGGTGAATCCAGTTTAACCTGACAATCTCACTTGCTCAACATATTGAATTGGATCGTTTAAAAGTCCATTATGTATTATGAATTCTGAAATAAAGTCATTTCTGGGCCAGGATTAATATCTAAGAGTCCCTGAGATATATTTTAGTTACCTACTTTAACTGATTCAGCTATGTTATAGAAAAGGAAAATTAATTTGATCTTTTAACCTCTGGATATAGAGGGAGGAGTTATAATAGCACTCAAAGAATAGGAGTGTTCTAGGATTTGTTCTATAGGATTTTGTTTTCCTTTGCTTTAGTTTATTACTTTCTACTCTTCCACTAAGGTGAAGGACAGAGGACTTGAAACAAGAGCAGAGAGTTGATATGATTAGTTACCTCTAAGTTATTACCAGTTGTGCAAGGTAAGTGATTTGCCAAGGAAGAGTGGCAAATGTATTCAAGCTGTGCTGCATTAGTTTTTGCTTCTACATCCTATAAACCTTTCTTGTTTTGAATGCATTATATCCCATTTTGTGTGATCTATCTATAAGTTGTACTTAGAAAAATACATATATTACACTATCTCTTTAGATGGAAAGCACTGCATAAATAATTTAAGAGATAAAAAAGCTTATCTTTGCTTTATATGGATAACCATCCATATAAAGCAAAGATAAAATATAAAACTGTTTTGTTTTTTCAAGTCTATAAAACATAACCTCATGGATCATTGCTTGGTGACTCCAATATTCATTCCTAAGATGCTATCAACATGTTTTGGTTTCTGCTTTAGGAAAATGAATGTCTGACTGTGTAGGGCTGAATTCCTGAAATATGTAACTTTTTCAGTAAATAGCAGTCAATTCTACATAAAACATTTGGAAGGGCTACTGGAAATGACCTACCTCTAAATAAGACATATTACATTTTAAAGGAAGAAAGAAAAAAAAAAACTGGTGAAAAAAATACTGGTTAGCATTTTTTTTCATTTCTTCATAATTTTCATATCACAATTAATCCAATAACTTCCAGAGTGGTAAACAATATAGCCCCCCCACACATATCATATATATGCATATGTCTGTTTCTGTGTGTATGTAGTGTGTGTGTGTGTATGTACAGTATGTATAGGGAATGTGTATATGTGTTAAAAACTAAAATAATTTAGTCAAGCTATAAGGCCTTTGAAAAAGCTATCCGCTTTGTAGTTACATAGCAGTCTTGCACTAAACAATTATGTGGCTAAGAATGTCAACAAAACATCCAATTCCATTTCTACTAATTTGAAAGGAAGATTTCCCCATTTAAAGATTTCTCTTCATTTCTGTTTGAACTGAATTAGTATTTATATTTTTTTTCATAAGTATTGTTTTCAAAAGTTTGTTTCCCTATCATAGATATATTACTTTCATGCTCATTATCTCATGTTTCCTAAGTATGGATTGCTTTATTCTGGATGTATTAAACTACAGGCTAGCAGCTTTCTATTGTTTCATCTTGATTTCCTATACAGAACAAAGGATTGCATTTAATGGCCTACATGGCAACTTCTAACCTTATGGTTCTAATATTGTTCTCATTAGTATAGCCTTCAAACTATTGTTTGAACTGATTTGCCCCAATTTATAAGCTTGGATAGAATATACATTATAGAAGGAATAACTACCAGATAAAAAGGTGCTCTCCAAATCCATGGTGGTATCAAATTGGTATCAAAAGTTTATTACCACTTCAGGACAGAGTAAAGAGATGTAGGGTTTTAATATTTAATATTAATAGTGACATACAAAACTGGCAGTAGCTGATTTTCATAATTATAAGCTCTCTTACCACAGCTACAATAAATGCAGTTTACCTGATAATCCTTGAATCTTCTATTACTAATCTCATGAGTGCATGCTTCTAGGGTTATAGATTTGCTACCATGGCTAGAATGGAGGAAAAATACAGTATGAAAACTACAGCTAAAAATCAGCATCAAATTGCCAATGTCACATGACAGTTCAGAACTGATCTGGGTAAAGAATCAACTAGTCCAACAAGTGAGGCAGACTTTGTTCTAACTAGCAGCTCCTATGCTTCTATTTGCTTATACTAGATTTCAGAAGTTTCACCCATACAGATGGGATCCAGCATAGCTTCTCTATATGCTCAAGGAAAGCTTTGTTCATATGTATAAAATGCATATTTGTATTATGGAGATTCTGGCCATTTCATAACAAAATGTACCCATCCTCTGAATCAGCAGCAAAGCGTTACATTCAGATCCCTAAGTGTTCCACATTAAACATGTTAGGGGACAAGTCAGTATAAATCTCAAAAGGATTAGAAATCAGATTCCTAGATATTAAATGGAGCCCAAATTTTCAAAACATTTATTCATTTCTGTTACATTTCAAGCCAAGACAGGACTTACAATACATTGTGCTACATTGTGATGCTGCAGCAGTTTCATAGATTCTTCAATGATATGCCGATATGATTTGAACAATAAGCTTGTCAACAACCCTTGGAACTCATGAGTCTATATATCCATTTCTAGGAGATTTATTATTTCCAAGCTATAGCTTCAACAGTTTGAGTCCTCAGATGTACATAGAATAAGAGATTCTATTGGATGGAAAGAAATTATTCACAGCTCAGTGCAAGAATTTACCAAACCATCTCTGAAAGGTGCCAATCCACCCCCTACTGGAAAGCTTCCAGGGAAAGAGT